AACCCTTTTAGTACATGGGCTTATCAGTATTTGATATAGCAGAAGAGAGAATTATTGTAGTACATAATATTTTCCCTTCATGTCAGAGGCAGAAAATATCCATACTGATTCATAGAAAGCAAAGAGGTTAGAAACAAGCACACAACAGACAAATAGGGTGATATACATATATGTTCGTGTGTACATATATATGTGTATATATGCTGCATACATTTATATTTATATATTTATGATTGTAATTAGTAAAGTAGGGAAAAGATTGACATAGAACAGATTGATGGAATTTTCACCAATAGCAGAGAATTTTTCCAATAATGAAAGATATCAAGCCAAGATTCAGGAAGCACTACCAACTCATAGTGGGATAAAAGGCAAAAACCAACCTAAATAAATTACAGAAAAACTTCTAAAACAGAAAGCTAAAGAAAATTTTAAAGTCAACCACAAAAAATGACACTTATCTTTAAAGAAATAATAAAAATATTGGCAATTACTGTATCAATAGAAATAGACACTGGAATTAACCTACAATGAGAATGTTGGATACAAAACTATAGGCCAACTGGGCAATATCTCTCAATGATTCTAAAATCTTAGTCTATAAGATGACTTCTTTTGCTTCCCTAACAAATTGCCACCTAATAAATTAGGGACTTAAAGTAGGAGAATAACACCCATTTATTGCCACGCAGTTTTTAAAGTCATAAATCTAGATTGGTTCAGCTTATTTATCTTCTTAGAATTTCACAAGGTCAAAATCAAGATGTCATACAGCTGACCTCTTATCTGGAGGCTCTCGGACAGAATCTGCTATCATGTATCTTGATATTGTTAGCCACATTCAGTTGCTTATAGTTTTAAGACTAAGGGCCCCTTGCCTTGCTGATTATCAGCATAAAGTTTCTACAGCTCCCAGAGGTCTCTCCCCAGTTCTTACACATGGGTACACAGACCCCTTCATGTCAGAGCCAGAGATACTGCATTAAAACTTTCCCTTCTGCTGCAGTTCTCTTTTGATTCCAGGTAAAGCAAGTTTTCTAATTTATGTGCTCATTTTATTAGATTACACTTACTTGAATAATTCAGATTAATCTCTCCAGCTAGATCTATAAGTTTAATTATACCTGCCATGTAGCATAACATATTCATAGAATCTAGGGATTAGGGATGGATGTGTCTGGGCATCCTGCCACAAAGTGCAAAAGTCCAAAGACAGCTAACATTATACTGAAAAAGAAAATAAAGGAAGATTTATCCACAAACCCAAAACTTAATATAAAGCAATGTAAATGAAAAACGTTTTGTATAGGCATAGGATGGACAGCTAGATCAATAGAACAGATAAAAAGCCTTGCAATATTCAGAAACTCATCACATGACAGGTGGCATTAAAAATCAGCAGGGAGATTATGAACAATTTAACAAACATAGCTAGGAAAATGAACTCTATATGTATGAAACTCTCTCTCTCTCTCTCTTACACACACACACACACACACACACACACACACACATACACAGTCCCTTACTTAAAACAGTTCAACTTACAACTTTTCAAATTGACAGTGGTGCAAAAGCAACATGCATTTAGGAGAAACCAAACTTTGTATTCTGAATTTCAATCTTTTCCTGGGCTAGCTGGATGCCATATGATACTCTTGTGATTCTGGGCAGTGGCAGTGAGCCATCACTCTTTGGCAGCCATGTTATCAGAAGGGTAAACAAAAAAGCAGAAACTATAAAGAGAGAGTCTGATAAATTTTATCACAGTAAAAATTTTAGCGGTTTATACCATAAGACACATTTCAGATGAATATATTTAAAAAGGCTATCCTTGCAGAATTTATGTATGTATATATGTATTAAATACTATCAATTCTAGGAATCAATTATAAAATGCAAAACAACCTATAGGAAAGTGAACAAAATGATATAAACAGATAACTCACCAAAGTGGAAAATTGAGCAACCAATGAGATATCCTTTTGCACCTATGATATTGAAAAAAAAATTAAGAAGCCCCAAATTTGAGGTGTCAGTCAGGATATGGGGGATGAGGGGGAAGAGCATTTGTGTAAGTAGTGAGTGAAGCATGCACTATGAGCACGCTCAGCATGCATTATGCACTTGCAAGGAATTCTTTCTTATTGCAGCTTAAGCATGAGATACGAGGAAGGAAAAAGAGATTAAAGAGGCCGACAGACTAGGTAGGGCTTTGTTTCCATGTTGTGAAGTTAACTTTTTATCTGGAGGAAAGGGTGATACACTAAAGGATTTCTGGCAGGAAAATTCAATGTCAGGTATGAATCATATGAAGATTGCTCTGGAAGCAAAAGAGAATGGTTAGGAGCAGGAAGAACTGGAGAAAACAGGATGCTGCGATGATGTCACACAAGATGATGAGAGCCAAATAAAGATGGCAGCTCTACAGGTGGATGAACACAGAGGAAACCAAAGAGGCAGAAGGAACAGAACTTAGTCATGGAGGATAAGAGAGGGAACGCCATGGAAGTTTCAGGCATGGCCAATGGGAAAATTATGCAGTTCTCTTAAAGAGTTTTTCAGTTGGAAGAATAGATCACAACAGGCCAAAATGATGAGCTCAGAGTTACCTTTGGAGGCCTGTGGTCAGTTGTTACTACGGTTCTGAAGCTCAGCAGTTGTCAGGTAATCGATTTTACCATAGTGATCATTGGTATGATAATGATCACTGAAGCCCTGTTCATGGATAATACCACATCTACAGAGAGTGATGGAAATAAAAGAGGGCTAAAAATAGTTATGTCATGGGCTGACATCTGAGAGGTGATCAAAGAAGATAAATCTGAAAAGGGGCAAACAGGTAACAGAAGCAAAGCAAAAGGGGAACTTTCATAAAAGAGAGTCTATCTGGCAAAAGCAAATCCTTCAAAGACATAAAGATAAAGGCTGAACAGATACCACTCAACTTACCAACTTTGAAGGGCATTAGTCATCTGCATCTGTAGCAGACATAGGCAGTCGTGATTGAGAAGTGAGGAATTTATGATACAGTCTTTTCAAAAGCAGGTTTGGGGAATAGTATGACCTGTAAGGTGAAGGAGGGTTGCTTTGTTTTTGTTTTTCTTTTGTTTTTTAAAGTTGTAGCACTTTAAGAAAAGATATGTATTTGAGAAAAGATGCAGTCTAGAGGGAGAGGTTGGTGTTAAAGGATAATGAATGGATGGAGAGGCTGAAGCGGCAGAGAAGGAAGTCACCCAAAGGCTTCACGTTGAGTGGGAGAAGAGTCACTCTTCTACTGCAGAGTGGGCTGGAACAGAGAAAGTTATGTGGCAGTAATAAATGAACCTTCTTCTAACTGGGAAGCAAGAAAACAATTCTCTCTCATAGATGTATTTTCTTAGTAAGATTATTTGCTGGAAGGGATATGAACATGATTGGGGGTGGCAAAAGGCACTGTCTCAGCTCATGAAGAAGACAACTTGCTGTTCATCATGAAGAGAGATGCTAAAGGCCCAGGTGTGGCTGAAAAACCAATAATTTTTTGGTAGCAACAATCTGTGTATAGTGTGTGGGAGAGGGGTGGGGGGATGTTTTCTAGCAGTGCACACCCAGCAGGGTGTGTACAGAATGTTAAACAAGTTGAGTGATTGGATGAATCCAATTTGAGATCTTACTAGTTGAATGAGGCAGAGAGCAAGCACTAATTTTTATTGAGTGACCCTGAACATGAGAGTTAATCTCTCTAAACTGGTTTCCTGATCTATAAAATGGGACTAAAAATAGTACATGTCTCACTTGGTTGTAAGACTTAAATGAGATGATAAAGAGTTCCTCATTTTTTTTACTACTACTTTCAATTAGAAATATGTATGTTTTGTGAAAATTAAATAAATTGTGGAGAAAGATATATAAATGGAGATAGTGACAGATGCAGATATATTTTTCCCAGTGCCTAGTACTTAGTAGTATTGGTGATTATTATTGGTAGGGATATATTTTATTTTGAATATGCTGGTCCTAAGCCATCCAAGTGATTTCATAACCTGCTAATGGGCTGTGACCCACACTCTGAAAAATGCTGATACCTGGAACATACTCAGTCCTCAACACAAGGTGGAAGGTAAAAAATACCATCTTATGTTTGCATAATGTGTTCACTTTCCAAATTTGTTTTAATCACATAGTTGTAATATGAGGCGTCCCCAAAATGTCGTGTGTGCGACAATGCAAGCATGTTCAGAGGTGATATGATTAGACTATGAGTTGTAACCTGATCAGTGGATTATTCACTGATATGGATTAATTGAGTGGTAATTGCAGGCAAGTAGGATGTGACTAGAAGAAATAAAGTTTCTGGGAGTGTGACTTTGGGGTTTCTATTTTGCTCCTGGTGGAACTCTCTTTCTGCTTCCTGGTTGCCATGTCTTGACCTGCTTTCCTGCCATGCCCTCTGCCATGATGTTCTGCTTCACCTTGGGCCCAGAGCTATGGAGCTGGCCAATCATGGACTGATCCAATGAAACCAAGAGTCAATAACTTGTCCTCCTCTAAATTGTTCTTGTCAGATCTTTTGGTCACAGCAATGAAAAAGCTGAATTAAAGCAGTTGCTTCACAGTCACTGTATCAGAAGTAAACTAAAAGTTTTAACTTTTCTCTTGATCTGCTCTTGAGAATTTCATGTCACAATGGTTTCGAATTGAGCAGGAGGAAATTTAAAAAATTATAATCACACCTTCCTATGGGCATTCATACCCTGACTCTTACAGCACATTTTAAGTTTCCTTTAATTATCTTTTGTGAAACAGATCATTTTATCGTATCAATAAAGAAACAGAAATAAGGCATCAAGCCATTTGTCTTAGATTACAAAATATATGATTTCTATGTAGAACATGCCCAGTAGAATGTACAGCTTAGGAACAACTTCCAAAGCGTGTTTATTTTTCAGTTCTGAAAGTGAGCCAAAGACATTCATATCAGAAGGCACTTTTATAATCTTTGTGTTTTATTTTTCCAGTTCTCTTGGAGACATTGAAATAGCTGAAGTGAATGCCCAGGGTTTGTTTGTGAGGCTCCTTAACTCTTCCCCTGACAAGGAACTGGAGATTGGAGATCATATTCTCCAGCAGAATGTGAAGGGACAAGCAGTTTCTTTGTACCAGTTCCTTCCCAATATTGTCATGCAGGCCAATTCCACGGTGACGGTGAGTATGTGATAGGAATAGGAGGAACTGGAATTGTAGAGATAAAGTTCATTGGCCCCATCAGCCTGTGACTCCGTACCAGTGGTGGCATCTTCCCCAGATCTGTCCATAAAAAGTAATTATTTTTTGTTCTTGTTACTTAATTGTGCCACTTGATCTATCTTCTGGGTAAAAATTTATACCCATAATCAAAATTTCACAGCTTTCTTCAATTTAGTACATGATATCTCTTTTTTTTAATCATTTAACTATTAAAGTGGAGTTCCCACGAATTACGCAAACAAATCCAGGAAGCAAAGGATCAACTATACAGGGAGATAGAGGTTATAAAAAACAAGCAATCAGAAATCCTAGAAATGCAGGAAGCAATAAACCAACTTAAAAACTCAATGGAGAATACTACCAACAGAGTAGAACACTTAGAAGATAGAACATCAGACAATGAAGACAAAGTATTTCAACTGGAAAAGAACATAGACAGCTCAGCAAGACTGTTAAGAAACCATGAGCAGAACATCCAAGAAATATGGGATAACATTAAGAGACCAAACTTAAGAGTCATTGGGATACAGGAAGGTACAGAGCTCCAAACCAAAGGAATGAGCGGTCTATTCAATGAAATAATACAAGAAAACTTCCCAGACTTGAAGAATGAGACAGAATCCCAAATCCTAGAAGCCTACAGGACGCCGAATGTGCAAAATCATAAGAGATCCACACCTAGACACATTATAATGAAGATGCCCAACATACAGAATAAGGAGAGAATTTTAAAAGCTACAAGAGAAAGGAAGCAGATTACATTTAGGGGCAAGCCAATCAGGATAACAGCTGATCTTTCAACACAGACTCTGAAAGCTAGAAGATCCTGGAATAACATATTTCAAACACTGAAAGAAAATGGGTTCCAACCAAGAATTGTGTATCCAGCGAAATTAAGCTTCAGGATGGAGAATGAAATTAAAACCTTCCACGATAAACAAAAGTTTAAAGAATTCGCAGCTAGAAAACCATCTCTTCAAAACATCCTCGCCAAAGTATTACAGGAAGAGGAAATGGAAAATAACAATGAAAACCAACAGTGGGAGGTAGGACAGTAAAGGGGGGGGGAAATAATCAAAGAGGAAAACAAACAATGTTTAGTAACAGAAATAAACAAATATGGCTGGAAGAACAACCCATATCTCAATAATAACCCTAAATGTTAATGGCTTAAACTCACCAATTAAGAGACACAGGCTAGTAGAATGGATCACAAAACAAGACCCAACAATATGCTGCCTACAGGAGACGCATTTGATAGGAAAAGACATACATAGGCTGAAGGTGAAAGGTTGGGAAAAATCATATCACTCATATGGACTTCGGAAACAAGCAGGTGTGTCCATACTCATATCAAATAAAATAGATTTCAAGCCAAAGTTAATCAAAAGAGATAAAGAAGGACACTACATACTGCTTAAGGGAACCATACACCAACAAGACATAACAATCATAAATATTTATGCCCCAAAAAATGGTGCAGCTATGTTCGTCAAACAAACTCTTCTCAAATTCAAGAGTCTAATAGACCACCACACCATAATCATGGGAGACTTCAACACACCTCTCTCGCCACTGGACAGATCTTCCAAACAAAAGTTGAATAAGGAAACTATAGAACTCAATAACACTATTAATAACCTAGACCTAATTGACATATATAGAGTATACCACCCAACATCAAGCAGTTACACTTTTTTCTCAGCAGCACATGGATCCTTCTCAAAAATAGATCATATATTATGTCACAGGGCAACTCTTAGACAATATAAAGGAGTAGAGATAATACCATGCATCTTATCTGATCATAATGGAATGAAACTGAAAATCAACGATAAAAGAAGGAAGGAAAAAGCATACATCAACTGGAGAATGAACAATAGGTTACTGAATGATCAATGGGTTATAGAAGACATCAAGGAGGAAATTAAAAAATTCTTAGAGATAAATGAAAACACAGACACAACATATCGGAATCTATGGGACACATTGAAAGCAGTTCTAAGAGGAAAATTCATTGCTTGGAGTTCATTCCTTAAAAAAAGAAAAAACCAACAAATAAATGATCTCATACTTCATCTCAAAATCCTTGAAAAAGAAGAGCAAAACAACAGCAAAAGAAGTAGAAGGCAAGAAATAATTAAAATCAGAGCTGAAATTAATGAAATCGAAACAAAAGAAACAATTGAAAAAATTGACAAAACTAAAAGTTGGTTCTTTGAAAAAATAAACAAAATCGACAGACCCTTAGCGATGCTAGCGAAGAGAAGAAGAGAGAGAACTCAAATTATTAGCATACAGGATGAAAAAGGCAATATCACAACAGACACTTCAGAAATACAGAAGATAATCAAAAACTATTTTGAATCCTTATACTCCAATAAATTAGAAGATAGTGAAGGCATAGATAAATTTCTGAAGTCATATGATCTGCCCAGATTGAGTCAGGAGGATATAGAAAACCTAAACAGACCAATATCAATTGAGGAAATAGAAGAAACCATAAAAAGACTACCAACTAAGAAAAGCCCAGGTCCGGATGGGTATACAGCAGAATTTTACAAAACCTTTAAAGAAGAACTAATACCAATACTTTTCAAGCTACTTCAGGAAATAGAAAAGGAGGGAGAACTTCCAAATTCATTCTATGAGGCCAACATCACCCTGATACCTAAGCCAGACAAAGACACTTCAAAGAAAGAAAACTACAGACCAATATCTCTAATGAACCTAGATGCAAAAATCCTCAATAAAATTCTGGCGAATCGGATACAAAAACATATCAAAAAAATTGTACACCATGATCAAGTAGGATTCATCCCTGGGATGCAAGGCTGGTTCAATATACGGAAATCAATAAATGTTATTCACCACATCAATAGACTTAAAAATAAGAACCATATGATCATCTCGATAGATGCGGAAAAAGCATTCGACAAAGTACAGCATCCCTTTATGTTCAAAACTCTAGAAAAACTAGGGATAACAGGAACATACCTCAATATTGTAAAAGCAATCTATGCTAAGCCTCAGGCTAGCATCATTCTGAATGGAGAAAAACTGAAGGCATTCCCTCTAAAATCTGGAACAAGACAGGGATGCCCTCTCTCTCCACTTCTCTTCAACATAGTTCTCGAACCACTGGCCAGAGCAATTAGACAGACGAAAGAAATTAAAGGCATAAAAATAGGAAAAGAAGAAATTAAATTATCACTATTTGCAGATGATATGATTCTGTATCTAGCAGACCCAAAAGGCTCTACAAAGAAACTATTAGAGCTAATAAATGAATTCAGCAAAGTGGCAGGATTTAAAATCAACACGCATAAATCAAAGGCATTCCTGTATATCAGCGACAAATCCTCTGAAATGGAAATGAGGACAACCACTCCATTCAAAATATCTTCAAAAAAAATAAAATACTTGGGAATCAACCTAACAAAAGAGGTGAAAGACTTATACAATGAAAACTACAGAACCCTAAAGAGAGAAATAGAAAAAGATCTTAGAAGATGGAAAAATATACCCTGTTCATGGATAGGCAGAACTAACATCATCAAAATGGCGATATTACCAAAAGTTCTCTATAGGTTTAATGCAATGCCAATCAAAATCCCAATGGCATTTCTTGTAGAAATAGAGAAAGCAATCATGAAATTCATATGGAAAAATAAAAGACCCAGAATAGCAAAAACAATGCTAAGCAAGAAGTGTGAATCAGGCGGTATAGCGATACCAGACTTCAAACTATACTACAGAGCAATAGTAACAAAAACAGCATGGTACTGGTACCAAAACAGGCGGGTGGACCAATGGTACAGAATAGAGGACACAGAAACCAATCCACAAAACTACAACTATCTTATATTTGATAAAGGGGCTAAAAGCATGCAATGGAGGAAGGATAGCATCTTCAACAAATGGTGCTGGGAAAACTGGAAATCCATATGCAACAAAATGAAACTGAATCCCTTTCTCTCGCCATGCACAAAAGTGAATTCAAAATGGATCAAGGAGCTTGATATCAAATCAGAGACGCGCCGTCTGATAGAAGAAAAAGTTGGCTACGATCTACATTCGGTGGGGTCGGGCTCCAAATTCCTCAATAGGACACCCATAGCACAAAAGTTAATAACTAGAATCAACAAATGGGACTTACTCAAACTAAAAAGTTTTTTCTCAGCAAAAGAAACAATAAGAGAGGTAAATAGGGAGCCTACATCCTGGGAACAAATCTTTACTCCTCACACTTCAGATAGAGCCCTAATATCCAGAGTATACAAAGAACTCAAAAAATTAGACAATAAGAGAACAAACAACCCAATCAACAAATGGGCCAAGGACCTGAACAGACACTTCTCAGAGGAGGACATACAGTCAATCAACAAGTACATGAAAAAATGCTCAACATCTCTAGCTGTCAGAGAAATGCAAATCAAAACCACCCTAAGATACCATCTCACTCCAGTAAGATTGGCAGCCATTAGGAAGTCAAACAACAACAAGTGCTGGCGAGGATGTGGGGAAAAGGGTACACTTGTACATTGCTGGTGGGACTGCAGATTGGTGCAGCCAATTTGGAAAGCAGTATGGAGATTTCTTGGAAAGCTGGGAATGGAGCCACCATTTGACCCAGCTATTCCCCTTCTTGGTCTATTCCCTAAAGACCTAAAAAGAGCATGCTACAGGGACACTGCTACATCGATGTTCATAGCAGCACAGTTCACAATAGCAAGACTGTGGAACCAACCTAGATGCCCTTCAATAGACGAATGGATAAAAAAAATGTGGCATTTATACACAATGGAGTATTACTCTGCATTAAAAAATGACAAAATCATAGAATTTACAGGGAAATGGATGGCAATAGAGCAGATTATGCTAAGTGAAGCTAGCCAATCCCTAAAAAACAAATGCCAAATGTCTTCTTTGATATAAGGAAAGTAACTAAGAACAGAGTAGGGACGAAGAACAGGAGAAGAATAACATTTAACAGGGATGAGAGGTGGGAGGGAAAGGGAGAGAGAAGGGAAATTGCACGGTAATGGAAGGAGACCCTCAGGGTTATACAGAGGAGGGGGTAGAGAGAGAGGAGGGGAGGGGAGGGGAGAGGTGGGGAGGGGGGAGGGTGGATGATGGGAAAGGCAGCGGAGCACAACAGACACTAGTATGGCAATTTGTAAATCAATGGATGTGTAACTGATGTGAATCTGCAATCTGTGTATGGGGTGAAGGTGGGAGTTCATAACCCACTTGAATCAAAGTGTGGAATATGATATGTCAAGAAATTTGTAATGTTTTGAACAACCCACAATAAAAAATTAAAAAAAAAAAAAGAAAAAAAAGAAAAAAAAAAATAATAAAGTGGAGTTCCCTATTTCCTTACTGTAAATAACCATGTCCTTAGAAGACAAGACAAGAGATTTTTTTTTTTTTTTTGCAGAATAGGTAATTGTAGATGATGCTGGAAGATTCCCCATCTTTCCTGTGCTTTCCCTTAAGTCATGTGCAGTAGCTGTTTGGTGTGGTACACAGCTTGGTATTAAATATTTCATAGCCATTATATTTTAAAGCCTCACCTGAAGCCAATCACAGTGGCATGCACACACCTGTACTCTCAGCTACTTGGGAGGCTGAGCTGGGAGGATCACTTGAGCCTAGGAGTTTGAGGCCAGCCTGAACAACATAGCAAGACCTCATCTCTTAAAAATAAATAAACAGCACTAAAATCTCACCTATTGAGACAGGTTAAGTTGCAATGACCCTGTGACCTTCACGGGACTCTGCTGAGCCCAGCAGCATTCATCGATGTTTTCTTGCAGGTGTGGGCAGCAGCATCTGAAGCGAAGCATCATCCACCATCAGACTTTGTTTGGAAGGAACAAAACAAATTTAAAACAAGTCCAGATTGTACAACGATCCTGTGCAAACCCAATGGGGAAGTCAGTGTCTGGTTTGTAACAATAGTTTTTAGCAAACTGGATAGCCCTCTTTATGTCTCCTTCTTCTCTTAGCTTACTCGGCTGTTTTTCCATCCTGCAAAGCTTGAAGAGAGTCGGCACTAAATGCCATAACACATCAGGCAATCAATCCAACAGCACCCTCTTTCCAATGTCCAAGAAGAACTGCACAAAGAACTGCACAAATTTGACAAAAAATGATTTTGATATCCCATATTTCTAAGAAACTACTTCAAATTTCAGAGTCCAGGAAAATTTTTATTTGTGATATTAGCTTGATGAGCAGGGTAAGGAGGGCACTACATAACAGTCTATTCATTTAATCATTTTTCTGATATTTATGGAGCTTCTATACTCTTAGGGCTGTATTAAGTGCTGGGAATATAACTTAAAGAAATGTGATCTGCTTCCAAGGGACCAATATCCTTATAAAAACTTAGTCTTAATTTGAAATGATTATACTTTGTCCACTCTAAAATTAATTGTACTATAAATAGCTTTGTGTAATTTGTTTCTAGTACTTGATAATTTTATACTGCAATTTTATTTTTCCCTGGTATAATAGCATCATAAATATATATCCACTGACATACTAATAAAATTTAAAGGTATGTTTATATGAAAACAAAGTTATTCTTTTTTCAAAATGGTTAGATTTTTCTTAAATATTTGCCTTTTTTTCTTATCCTTGGTCTCATGGTGTCTTATAACTACTAACCCACACAATGTATTGATCGGATTCTCTCAGCTTCTTTCTTGCTCCATCACCACTGGACTTTCCCTTTAGAATACTTGGCTAATTTATTAAGAGCCATTTTATGCCTTTCTGTGAGATCAGTTTTCATTAGATGGGGAGAGCACTCACCAGATGTCATTTAGCAGACTTTATTCAGTCCACTCTAAGTCCCTTTATGGGTTAGAATTGAATTTTATACTACTGATAATAATTTTCACTATTTGGGAAGAAAAAAATTATGCAAGCTAAGTTATTTCCTCAGCCTCATGAGAAATCGTTAGTAGAGCCCAGATTAGGATGAAGGGAGATCCCAGCTCAGAACTTTCATCACATGTATCCACTTCGTAACCAGGTTTGTGGCTTCTGCTTAGGTGTGCACTGTTCCAGGTGATGGGTGCTGAATCAGACAGACCAAGTCCCTGAGCTCCTGGAATGTGCACCTTATAAATTGACATTCCCTGCCACTGAATTAGACTGTGTCCTTAGACTGTTTTACTTGCTGGTTTGAACTACTTTGATTGGTTTATTTTGAAGATATTTACATACATATGTTATCTGTCAGGCAGGGTGGCATGTGATGTAGAACTATATGTGATATAGTCCTTTTCCTTAGGAGACACAGAATTTTTTTAAAGTAGAAATTGAATTAGCCAGAAATAATTGCAATGCTGTGAAACAGTACTTAAAGAGAAATATGTGCACAGAGCATGACAGCCCATGTCACAGATGTCAACAAAGGAGTGTCAGGAAAATTGTTCACAGGAAGAAACACTTGTCCTGAGTCTGTGAGAGGGAGTTTGCCCAGCTGCCCTTAATCTGAGAGGGATCTTGCCCAATTCCACCTCCCTCACTGTCCTCCTCATGCTGTCTGTTCTAACCACTCTGTCCTTCATTACATTCATTCCCCAGTTCTCACTGCTTCTTCAAGCCACAGAGCCTTTGCACATGCTTTGCTCCTTCAGAGATTCTCTTCCTCACCTTTTTTACCTATTAAATCCTTCCTTCCCTTCAGACCTTAGCAAGACTTTTTCCCCCTAGAGTCACATCCCGTTGGAATATGCCACTCATAGTAAAGCAATAAGTAGTATTTAATTCATCTAGAAAATATTCCCACAAAACAAGCTGACATGTAATTTTAAATCAACTTGAAACTCTAATATAAACACAAAGTTCTTTTTTCCTAGCTATCTAACTATAATAATGTGTGTGTATATATATATAAAATCCATCTTTGGGGAAAGTCACAGAGCCAGCCATCTTCTGTCTACAACAAAAGAAACTTACACAGACCTAAATATATCCTGTTTCTGAACTTGCATAATACTATTTTAAAAAGAGAAGTTACATTAGAAGTCAACCTTTAAAAGAAACCTAAGTAAAGTATGATTTAGACTACTTTTTAAAAAATATTTCTTTAGTTGTCAATGACCTTTATTTTATTTATTTATATGCAGTGCTAAGAATCGAACCCAGTGCCTCACACATGCTAGGCAAGCACTTTACCACTGAGCTACAAATCCAGCCCCTGATTTAGACTACTTTTTTTGAGTTACTGATATGACAAAAGTTAAAATTTAATATAACTACAAACTTTAGGGTGTAGTATAAAAGTAGATTTTAGTTTTGCTCTTCCATGAATTAATTATGCAATTTTCCTTCTATTTTCTCATCTGTAAAATAAGAGATTATATGATATAATCACTAATAGTCTATGAATATATGGATTTTAAAAAAGGGCTAGACTTTTTCTACCAGGTACACTGTTGTCCCACAGGATTTATAGCCCCTGCACTCTATGCCGACAAACTAATAGATGTCTAATGGGGGCGATGGCCACCATCTCACTGGGGAGTTCTTCTTCCTGCCCAGGAGAATGTAAGCCACCCTAAAACTTAAAGTCTCAAATAATTAGTGAATAGCAAAACACAAATATTCAGAAATATATTTAGAAAAGCAAAGCCCCTGATAGATCTAGTCCACAAGGGCGCTGGAACTAGATACAGAAAAGATGGCTCTGGTGCTTTATTTAAGGGGGTACAGCAAAGGCAGGGATAAAGTTACAGGGGTGGAGTCTTGCTTCCTGATGTCTGACAGTTGGCAGGTTGATTGACATCTTGGCAGGTCACACCCATCTCAGATGCTGTGTGGACCATGGCAGAGCAGAATAGAAATTCGCATTGTCCCTGGGCAACTGACCAAGAAAATGTCCACTGGTAATTCCCAGACACCAGATGTTTCTATCCACTAGGCTTCCATGCGCAATGACCACATACAACCCATGGATGGATGTCTTAGGTTTGTTCAGTGGTATTTTCCCAGTCCATCATTCTGCATTGGAGATCCAGATGTGGAACAGATCCCTCGTAGGCAACTCACTGAAGACCTCTTTATAGATACACTATTTTATTGATTCTCAGTAATTCAAGTATTTTACAAAGGAGGGAAACAGGACTTGGAAAGTTAGATGTCTTGCTCCAGGTTTTATGATTAGTAAAATGACAGAATTTTTTTAAAAATCACATATTTTAAGAATTTTTATGTAGTACTGAAAATAGCCTACAGTATTCCTAAGACCAACATTCAAGAGGGGAGTTTCCATTTTATCACAGTATCATTATAGTCATCAGATATTTTTAAGTCTTTACAATTCAGGGAGAAATAAAATATTGCTCTTGCCTAGGAAAGGCATGCAATGTAATTAAGAAAGATCACACTAAAATGATCACAAATTTATTTTCAAAATAAATGTGTATGTCTCAGCTATTAAAAGAGGGAGGATCTCAAACTGATGATCTGCCGCAACTCTGGGATTTTCTTGCTGTTGTTCATAAAAACAAACTTTTAAAAATATTACATGTCCTCATTCATTTTTCGTAGCCTCACCCAATTTGCTTGATGTTATCTTTATGTCTATTTAATTTGTCAGGCCAACCAGAGGCTTTTTTAAATGATAACAGCATAAAGCAGAAACCTGTAATTGTATAAACTAAAAACAGATCACAAGAATAAGTAGAGCATTGGGGTTCATTTTGATGCTTAATTTTCTCTTGTTGAATAAAGATATAATTGTTGGTCACTATGCAGGAATTTCCTGAGTAATTTTTGCACATATTCATTGTCCAAATGCTTCAGGAAACTAAAGCAAACTCCAGCTTTAGTGTTCATGGGACTTCCTAACTCTCACTTAGGATTCTAGCTGGAAAACATGTGTTCTTCTCCATGCCTTTGGTTTTACTATCTATTTCTCCATCTCAAAATATGGATATACGTATAATGTTGTAAATGTTTAAAGTTTTAACTTATGAATATTTCAACTACTTTCTGCACAGTTCTTTATAGTTATGAAATTCAGTAGCTTAAATGAATTTCAAATACTCTTGTAAAGCAATGCCCCACTGCTACTCTCCCCATTTTATATATGAGAACACAGTCCAAGATAATATGTGGCTGACCTGATTGAGATTATGAAGAACTGGCAAGTAAAAGCAGATATCTTCCTAGATCCTTCATTAAGTAATTCACTAATCCACACACAGTAGGTAAATGACATTATACAGATTGGTTTTTAAATTATGTTGCATCTTATTTTATGGCATACATAAAGATCATCTCAAAATGGATAGAATACCTTAATGTAAGACCTGAAACCATAAAACTCCTAAAAGAGAACATAGTGGGAGAGGTCCTGGACATTGACTTTGGCTATGATTTTTTGGATATCACACCAAAAGCTCAGGCTGCAAAAACAAAAACAAATAAACAGGACCATGGCAAACTAAAAAGCTTCTGCACAGCAAAGGAAACAATCAAAAAATTAAAATGGCACCTTATAGATTGGGAAAATATATTTGCAAATCATAATGTGATAAGAGGTTAATAGCCAAAATTTATAAAGAACTCTTATAACCCAATAGCAAAAAAACAAATAATACAGTTTAAAAATGGGCAGAGTATCTAAACAGACATTTCTCCAAAGAAGACATAAAAGTGCCCAATATATTTATGAAAAGGTGTTCCACATCACTAACCATCAGGGAAATGCAACTAATAACCACTATAAGATACTACCTTCCACCTATACAGGTGACTATTATCAAAAAGCAAGAGATTGATGTTGGTAAAGGTGTGAGAAAAGGGAAACCTATTACACAGCTGGTGGGAATGTAGATTGGCACTGCCATTATGGAAAATAGTGTGGAGGTACCTTTAGAAATTAAAAACCAACTACCACATGACCCAGCAATCCCTCTTCCAGATGTATACCCAAAGGACATGCAATCACCACTTAATAAGTTATCTACACTCCATGTTTATTGCAGAACTATTCATAATACCAAGATATGGAAACAAATGCCCCTTAACAAATAGATGAAGAAAATATCACACACATACACACACAGAGGAATATTATTCAGCCTTAAAAAAAAAGGATCTTGTCATTTGCCACACACGGATGGATTCTAGTTACCAGGGGGAGAGATAAATCAAAGAATATAAAGAATATAAAATATAAATTAAAGAATATATATAGGATGAAAAAATCAAGAGATTTAATATAAAACATGAGGACTACAGTAAACTTGTATTTATTTGTAATGTTATTTTTGTTAACCCATTATTAAATCCCAAGTTTTCAATTCTGAAAATACTTCAATGAATTTGACAGATACATTAAAATATGTTGAAAATGATAACTTATAGCTTATATATTATATAAATAATACTGTATTTTATATCATTATAATTACCTTACAGATTAATTATATAATAAATTATATACTATAGTTTTATGGCATGATGGGACAAAATGTATTAAATAAGTGAAATATAGTTGCTGTTTTCATAGAAAAAGCCATTACATGAAATGATAGTTAATTTGCTGTCTGATGGTAACCATTTTACTATCCATACATATCCCATAACATTATATTGTAAACTTCAAATATACATAATAAACCTTATTTTAAAAAATAAATTATATGGCACTGAGTCTGTGACATTAAAAATGTATCATTCCAATAACATTTACTATTAATAAATCGTTTTCATTAGGCTATTGCTTGGTACACTCCTATTCACTGGAAGCAAGCATGGGAAAAATTGGAGACTGACATTGAATTTGACAGATGTTCAGTCGTAACTCCAACATTCAGAAAGCATGTTTTTCAGTGGACCACACCTGCAGCTGCAGTAACTAAAGAAAACCAAGATCAATCTAAGGGAGATACCTCAACATGTCTAGTAGAACAAAGTCCACCTTTTATTAAGAGGTAAAGGATATTTTGTTTTGTTTGTTCTATTGGGTGATCCAAAAATTAGTAACTGAACACATGGGAATGACTGGGTGAAAGATATGTGATGAATAAGTAATATGTCAACCATGGTTAAGAAACTGTTTTGAATAGGAGCCATGTGAGAATCATAAAAACAGAGGGAGAAGTTTTATACTTGTAGCAATGAAGGCTGACAGTCTTCAGTGGGTCATGTTGAGACCAAGCCACTTAATTTTTCCTTCACACTGTTATTCAGGGAAAGGATGCTGCCAGGGTGAAGAGGTGAGATTGTCCCCAGGTCTTTAGCAGTGCTTAGGAGGAGAGAGAGATATATATCACTTAGGCATTTAATCTTGGATCAAGAGGTTCAGAATGTCATTCATTTGTATGCAAATATTTCTGGTTGTATAATAAATATTCTGCCTACAAAGTCTAGAAAAGCCATGTTTTCTTGGTTTTGAATCATATTTTCACTTTAATTACACTGTCAACACTAGTGCCACAGCATAACATACCTTTTGGGTTAAATTTATAATTTTCTTTCTCAGAGAAAAGGAAATCCCACCGAGTCTTTTCCCCAATAGAAGCCCTTGGGGCCACAGTCCCTCTGTTCCTGCACATCCTTACTGTCCCCTGATTGACCCGTACAACATGTGCACTACTGGAAGCAACTTGGAGAGACAGCCCAGGTGTCAGTCAACCAGACCTGATCCAGCCCCAGGTAAATCAAAAGGATATTTATTACACTGGAGAGCAAGGAATGTGTGTGTTTTTAAAAACCTTCAGATTCAGATCTTCAAGCAAGGCTCTTAAAAAAAAAAAAGTATTGTAAACCAATCACATTTACTGTAGCTCAGCGTCTTCCACAGTTCCTGATAAATATCTGTTGAACTAACAAATGGATCAAAAGAACAGCATGACCGCATAAGTATGTAAGATTCTTGAAGCTTGGAGAAAAAATGTATTTTATTTTTTCATCAAGCAAGAAAAATACATCTTACAAGTTATGCTGTACTAAAAATACCCATCTTTTCCCAAAACAACAGTATTAATCCCAAATTCTGATTCACTTTCAATCATAAAGTCCCATAAATAAAGCTTTTTGAGTTGGTGTTATTAACCTGGGATCTGGGAATGTATTCCCCCAGAAGTCCATGAACCTGTTAAACTTAGTAAAAAATGTGTGCCTACAGGATTCCCCCCAACCCACCTCCAGGGAGAGAGTCTATGAGGTTCAGTAGATGATCGTAATTTAAAAACAAAAACAAAAACCTGGATGAGAAGAACACAATGCCAAAAGACACAATAATGGTCAAAGCAACTGTATTTGCAATACACTAAAACTAGAAGCAATCCATTGTTCATCAACAATATAATGGATAAATTATAAATTATTTATACATAATGAAAATGAATGAACTATTGCTACATGCAAGAATGTCAATGAAGTTCATGGGCATAATTTCGAGTAACAGATGTCATACTGAAAGGAATGTGTATTGAGTAATCCCATGTATGTGAAATTCAGAAACATACAAAACTGAACCATGGTGTCAGAGACCAGAATAGTAATCATCTCCAAGAAAAAGAAGGAGTACTTGAAAGGTACCAGACAGTGCATCTAGAATATTGACAGTGCTTCATTTCCTGATCTGAGTAGTATTTACTAGTACATGTCATGTTTTCAAAATGCTGTGCAATCATGATTTGTGAACCTTCTTGCATGTATGTTATACTTAAAAATTATTTTTAAATTTTTGATGACAAAAAGAGAAAAGGAAGAAAGCATTGTTATAGTAATAAACACTGATAGCTTATACCCTGACAAGAAAGAAGTACATTGATTAAAATCGCTCAAAACAAACATTAATGATATGAAACTTATTTAGTGTAGGAAAAGAATAGAATAAATCTATTACTGCATTACAATGTATTAGGAGTTCATTATAATATAGTTTGTCATATAGTTCTGCCATTTCCAGGAATACCTTGTGGTAGAGATGGCTAATTGGTGCCCCCAAACCATTGCTTGTTTAGGCACAGGACCCAGAGGCCAAGGAAAACCTGGACACATTGACACCAAGAATAAAAACTGTTTTTCTCACCTCTGCTGCAGCTAGCAGAACCATGTGCCAACATTCTATATGATGGAATGTGGATAGAAATTTTGTATGCAACATCTGGATCATGTTCTTGGAGTTTTAGCTCCCCTGTGTTTTCTCTGTGGCAATGATAGCAGGGTCTGGAGCTGCCTTCTTCAACTCAGAGATGAAGCCATGTGTTGAGGACAGAAGAGCCACCTTAAGTGCCCTGTTTTGGCACATCTCCAGGATGTTAAATGAGAGAGAAACAATCTTGTTTAAGCCATTGTTAAGTTGGATCATTGTATCTGAGCCAGATGGCCCACACAACATTGCTGCCACTTAAGATTTAGTTTCACTTAATAGGCTCCTGGTTAAAAAGAAAGCAAAAATCACAGTTAGAACAGACGTTTTTAAGACAATTAGGTAAATTTAAATATAAAATGAGCATTAGACATCGAGTTATTTTGTTAGGTGTGTTAATTGCATGTTGGTTGTTCTTAGATTCATACAGAAATTTTTACATACTTACTAATGGGTTGGTGTGTAAGTACAGACATATAATGTGAATATGGTAAAATATTAATGGCTGAATATGGGTGTTAAATATACAAATATGGTTGTATTATTCATTGATATTTTCTGTGTGTTTGAAATTTTTCATAATAAAATTTGAAAAGATAGACAAGACAGACATTTTGGTAGAAAAGTATGCACCTGGAGCTAGTTGAGCACAAAGGCCTGGCACTGAGTGCAACATGAAAAGAACCACACTAAGGAAGGATTGGGCCCTTTCCCAAAGCTGATATGTTTGCCCAGTATTGACAGTTTTGTTCCTAGACCCAGAAGCACAGGCTTTCTTACAGAAATTAGTTTGCAGATCTTGGACAACTTTGTCAGTCTCCTTCTGTACCTCAGGTTATGGAAGAAATGAGTCTGAAAATAGTATTTGACAGACATTAGAGTTGATTACTGAATGCACTTTACTGCACACTTTTAATGCATTTGCCTATCATCTGTGATCCATGTTGTACAGTGCAGTGGGATTTGTTTTAATTGGAGACCCTACAGCACTCCTAACTTCAGTGTAGATGTTATTATAGTAATAATTATAATCATTTCTCTTTGTTTCTGAAGGTTACAGAACCCCATTGCAAAAGCCAACCTGTTAGAAAATCAATGAAACTAGAACATAGATAGCCTAACGCAGGAATGAAATGAGGATGTATCTCATCAGTGTAAGCTCTATATTAAGATAACAATTATGGAAATTTATTTAAATCGGACTGTGGACAATTGCTCATTACACTTCAATGGATCTGGCTTTTCTATCTTGAGATCACAGTATTTTTTTTTCCATAAGAAATTGTCAGGTGTGATGGCACTTGTCTGTAATCCAAGCTACTTGGGAAGCTAAGGTAGGAAGATCACAAGCTCAAGGCCAGCCTTATCAACCTAACTCAGTGGTAAAGCACCCTGGGTTCAACCCCCAGTACTACTAAACAAGACAAAAAAAAAAAAAGAAAGAAAAGAAATTACTTCCAATACAGGTTTGATATAAATTTTGTCTTCAGATCAGTATCTGTTCTGTTCATCCCTGTTCGTATTTCATAGTTTAATTTTTTTTCAGAAGAGGAATTTGGAATGTCTAATATCATATTTCTATGACTTGGCAGAATATTAGCCAATATTATATTTGTATATATGGCATTATTATTCAATAACTTGAAATTGTTTGAATCACTATATAGAAATTTTTTTTTAATTTTTTATTGTTGGCTGTTCAAAACATTACATAGTTCTTGATATATCATATTTCACAATTTGATTCAAGTGGGTTATGAGCTCCCATTTTTACCCCATATACAGATTGCAGAATCACATCAGTTACACATCCATTGATTTACATATTGCCATACTAGTGTCTGTTGTATTCTGCTGCCTTTCCTATCCTCTACTATCCCCCCTCCCCTCCCCTCCCCTCTTCTCTCTCTGCCCCCTCTACTGACATTCCTTTGTCCCCCTTATATTATTTTTCCCCTTCCCCTCACTTCCTCTTGTATGTACTTTTGTATAACTCTGAGGGTCTCCTTCCATTTCCATGCATTTTCCCTTCTCTCTCCCTTTCCCTCCCACCTCTCATCCCTGTTTAATGTTAATCTTCTTCTCATGCTCTTCGACCCTACTCTGTTCTTAGTTACTCTCCTTATATCAAAGAAGACATTTGGCATTTGTTTTTTAGGGATTGGCTAGCTTCACTTAGCATAATCTGCTCTAATGCCATCCATTTCCCTGTAAATTCTATGATTTTGTCATTTTTTAATGCAGAGTAATACTCCATTGTGTATAAATGCCACATTTTTTTTATCCATTCATCCATTGAAGGGCATCTAGGTTGGTTCCACAGTCTAGCTATTGTGAATTGTGCTGCTATGAACATCGATGTAGCAGTGTCCCTGTAGCATGCTCTTTTTAGGTCTTTAGGGAATAGACCGAGAAGGGGAATAGCTGGGTCAAATGGTGGCTCCATTCCCAGCTTTCCAAGAAATCTCCATACTGCTTTCCAAATTGGCTGCACCAATTTGCAGTCCCACCAGCAATGTACAAGTGTACCCTTTTCCCCACATCCTCGCCAGCACTTGTTGTTGTTTGACTTCATAATGGTTGCCAATCTAACTGGAGTGAGATGGTATCTTAGGGTGGTTTTGATTTGCATTTCTCTGACTGCTAGAGATGGTGAGCATTTTTTCATGTACTTGTTGATTGATTGTATGTCCTCCTCTGAGAAGTGTCTGTTCAGGTCCTTGGCCCATTTGTTGATTGGGTTGTTTGTTCTCTTATTGTCTAATTTTTTCAGTTCTTTGTATACTCTGGATATTAGGGCTCTATCTGAAGTGTGAGGAGTAAAGATTTGTTCCCAGGATGTAGGCTCTCTATTTACCTCTCTTATTGTATCTTTTGCTGAGAAAAAACTTTTTAGTTTGAGTAAGTCCCATTTGTTGATTCTAGTTATTAACTTTTGTGCTATGGGTGTCCTATTGAGGAATTTGGAGCCCGACCCCACAGTATGTAGATCGTAGCCAACTTTTTCTTCTATCAGACGGCGTGTCTCTGATTTGATATCAAGCTCCTTGATCCATTTTGAATTAACTTTTGTGCATGGCGAGAGAAAGGGATTCAGTTTCATTTTGTTGCATATGGATTTCCAGTTTTCCCAGCACCATTTGTTGAAGATGCTATCCTTCCTCCATTGCATGCTTTTAGCCCGTTTATCAAATATAAGGTAGTTGTAGTTTTGTGGATTGGTTTCTGTGTCCTCTATTCTGTACCATTGGTCCACCCGCCTGTTTTGGTACCAGTACCATGCTGTTTTTGTTACTATTGCTCTGTAGTATAGTTTGAAGTCTGGTATCGCTATACCGCCTGATTCACACTTCCTGCTTAGCATTGTTTTTGCTATTCTGGGTCTTTTGTTTTTCCATATGAATTTCATGATTGCTTTCTCTATTTCTACAAGAAATGCCTTTGGGATTTTGATTGGCATTGCATTAAACCTATAGAGAACTTTTGGTAATATCGCCATTTTGATGATGTTAGTTCTGCCTATCCATGAACAGGGTATATTTTTCCATCTTCTAAGATCTTCTTCTATTTCTCTCTTTAGGGTTCTGTAGTTTTCATTGTATAAGTCTTTCACCTCTTTTGTTAGGTTGATTCCCAAGTATTTTATTTTTTTTGAAGATATTGTGAATGGAGTGGTTGTCCTCATTTCCATTTCAGAGGCTTTGTCGCTGATATACAGGAATGCCTTTGATTTATGCGTGTTGATTTTATATCCTGCCACTTTGCTGAATTCATTTATTAGCTCTAATAGTTTCTTTGTAGACCCTTTTGGGTCTGCTAGGTATAGAATCATGTCATCTGCAAATAGTGATAATTTAAGTTCTTCTTTTCCTATTTTGATGCCTTTAATTTCTTTCGTCTGTCTAATTGCTCTGGCCAGTGTTTCGAGAACTATGTTGAACAGAAGTGGTGAGAGAGGGCATCCCTGTCTTGTTCCAGATTTAACAAAACAAAACACAAGCATCTGACTATTCTGTGGACCAGAAAAGAATAATTATTTGGACTGCTTACTCTCAAATTGAATAGAAAATAATAACTTGAGGGAACATTTCAAAATGCCAACAAGTTCTGCCCATGTTCCATTATCAAATAATGGTCCCAAAAATTAGGAACTTCCACGTGAAGGAAAATTTTGTTACATCTTGTATTTGAAGATAACGGCTTTCCTCTTCTGTTGCTTTCAGATAATTTAGATTGAACATCATTATATTTCTACAGCACTATTTTTTAAAGAACAGACAAGTGAGAACATCATTTATGTGCTTCTTTTTGTGGCTGAAATGTTTCTTTAACAACCTAATAAAGAATTCTAAGTTAGAAGTCCTAATAACAAAATAATGAGGTAATGTCATGTCCAAATAAAAAAAAAAATCACTGTTACAAAATGAGTACTTTAAATTGCCCTTTCATTATGAAAGATTGTAGCTTCATTTATGGAAATATATGCATTAATTATCCATTTCCTCACACAATTAAAAAATACTATTTCAGGAAATCAGAGTACTGAGATTAAATTAGCTAGATGCTAAATATTTCAGGTCCAAATTACCTAATAAATTGCCATCATCCACTGAATTTAAATAGATAAATAGTATTACTACTGATAATCCTGTCATTAAACTTCAAGAACTTATAGATGAGAATTTTAAATAAATGTTATCAGCTCTATAGCACTTTGTTTCTTGAGGAACGTGATTTCAGGGTGCAATTCAAAACCCTCATCCTCAGGCTACTCTGTCTGGAAGGACATACATAAAATATTTACAAGGTGTATTTTATGCCAACAAATTGCTCTGGAAGACGAGAAGTAATGAGCCCCACTCTTCTTGTATCTAACCACTTCCTAGGTAAGGAAAATATCTGAGAATCCTGTTTATATTCCAGATTAATAACTTCCTATTCAGAAAGTTTATACTGTAAATACGAAAGACAATCCTGATTCATTAGATTAAGGAACCTATTAGGGGGCTAAGCAAATGACTGTCAACCAAAAACACCAAGTTATAGTTAATCTTCCTTGCAGATCACATTTTCACATGTGGCTTTCAGATGATCTTTCTTTGTAATCAAACCGTGACAATTTAACTTGATAATACCAAGTTTGCATAGAAAAATAAAGGGTTAGGAGTGCTGAGGAACTAGTCCTGCTTTGGTTTTGGTTTTTCCAAAGTAGCTAATTGTTATCTGTACTTAGAATATTATTTTGCTTTCTTGTCTTTTATTTTATAAGAATAATATAAGAGCTCATATCTGATTTAGCAGTAATCTGAAATTAGGGTCATTCAATTAAACACTATTTCAGTTTGATATACTAGTTTCATATGTAAAAACTACATGTGGTGCATGTGTGTACTATGTGTGTGTATGTAAATATATAAATATATATGGAGAGAGAGAGAGAGAGAGAGAGAGAGAGAGAGAGAGAGAGAAGAGAGAAGAGAGATAGATTCTGGAGACTTAAGCCAGGGACATTCTATCACTGAGTTGCATCCCTGAGAATAGGGTCTTGCTAAGTTGACCAAACTGGCCTGCAAGGGGAATACTCCTGCCTCAGCCTCCTAAGTAGCTATGATTACAGGCATGTGCCACTACTCCCAGCTGTGAAAGTTATATTTATACAAAATCCTTTTAATCCCTACTTAAGTAAAATAATCCTTCCATATCTGTAGTTTCAGCATCCACAGATATGACCAACAGTAGATCAAAAATATTCTGAAAAAAAATGCATCTCTATTGAACATGTACAGGCATTTTTCTTGTCATTATTCCCTAAACAACAAAGTACAACTATTATTTACAAAGCATTTACACATTATTATGTATTTTATAATCAATCTATAAATGATTAAGTATACAGGAAGACGTGTGTGGGGATTATATGCAAATGCTATACCATTTTATATAAGGGACTTGAGCATCTCTGGGGATGGGGACAGGGGGAACTGGAACCAATCCCCATGGATACCCAGGGACCACTATATATGGGAGTGAGGAAGACCATCACATTAGTCACTTTGCCCACCAGGGTAGAGTTGACTAAAAATGGCAGGTGAGACAGCATCCCCTTCTGTCCATTGAATTCTTTATGGATCCCTTATAAGTCAGCCCGATTCCTCCACCTCCCTTCCCTAACTCCTATGCTATTATGGTAGGTCTAAGTGTAGAAAGCATTTCAGGAATTTTATAGGCTGGTCAGATTATTCTACAAACCTCTTGTTTATATAGATATAGACACAGATCTTCCAGATGGACATTTTCTCCTCAAGATTTTCATTAATTATGTCTTAAAATATATTTTTAAAATTATTTTTAAATGATTCACTGAAAACTTGGACTTAATAATAAATGATATTTTCCAAGTAGTTTTCAAGCTACTTGGTTCAAGATTCCATTAAATATGATCCTCAAACCATGGATTTCTTTTCAAATGAAGGAAAATTCCTATGTTTAGGATTTGTTTTAATGTGAAATGCCAGTGCTTGGAATAGTGGACTGAACTTTTGTCCTTCCCTCCATATTTTTAGGGACCAAGAAAAAAAGGAAATCTAAGTTACAAAAGCAATAAACAACCAACTCAAACTTTAAAGGTAAGTAATGGTATTGCAAATTTACTTTCTCGGCAGAAAGATAAGAAGACAAATAATTTACAGAAATGTCTTTAAAAGTCATCAGAACATGGATTGTTCTTATTTATCTTGCAGTTACTAATTTCCAGTTAAATACTTTTGGGGCCATTTATCTTCCTGTTGAATGATAAACTTTCTAAGAACGGGAAACAAGGACATGTCACCTCTTACTTTCTGCCCCAGACCCTTGTCTTATCCTTGTTGGTGGATACATAATGAACACTGAAATCTACAGTGATTTCTAATACTCAATAACTCTGCAACTCTGCAAATATAACAGTTCATTTTAGTTCCTATGGTCAATAGACTTGTAATTATATAACAGAAGCTTTTCTGCCTGAAGACACTACCAATGCCCTGTGGTTGCATATTGTTTACATGGTGATGAGAAGAAGCTGAGGAGCTCTGCCTCTACTCAGTTGCCAGTTCACCTTATATCACTTAATCCGTCACTTCTTATGTTGCATCAACTTTTTTATGGTCATATCAACTACTAGGTAATTGGGGAAGATCCCAACAAATGCAGTTTTCTGCTTTTTAAGTGATTATGTTCATATTCTTGCAAACGCTGATGACGAGATGATTTTTCAGCCAAGGAATCCTTACAGTCAGTGTTCTTCTCTAGGACATATTCGTGAGTGGGCTATGGTTTTCTTGCTCTTTTTTTCTGACTTTTGGATTATTCCCTGGCTTAAGACTGAAACTATTGCCACCCAAACTCTAGCTTGTTAATATTGACTTTACTTCTCCACACAACTAATGGCCTCTTGTGTCCCTACAGCCACCTTCCTGTGTGTACCAACTTTTTAGGTTTTCTCTGATGGCTGAACCGTTCAATTGCCTTCACCTGTCCCTCCCTAGATTTCCCCTAGTCCTCATCTTATGTTCTTCCGGAGGTCACTTACTCTTAACAAGCTCACTCTCCTCACTCCTATAACATCAAATCCTTGAACTTCCTACTTCCTAAAGATGTGATGGCCACAACACCCCTGTTTTAGGTTTTTATCTGTTTTTATCTTCCTGTTGAATGATAAACTTTCTAAGAATGGGAAACAAGGACAGGTCACCTCTTACTTCCTGCCCCAGACCCTTGTCCTATCCTTGTTGGTGGATACATAATGAACACTGAAATCTACAGTAATTTCTAATACTCAATAACAACTCTGCTACTATAACAGTACATTTTAGTTCCTATGGTCATTTTAGTTCCTGTTTTAGTTAGCTTTTTCATCACTGTGACCAAAAGACCTGAAAAGAACAAGTTAGAGGAGAAAAAGTTTATTTTTGTTCAGTCCATAGTCAGAAGACTCCATAGCTCTGGGCCTGAAGTGAGATTATACATCACGGTAGAAGAATGTGGTGGAAAGCAGCTCAGCTCACGACTGTCAGGAAGCAGAGAAAGAGCTTCACTAACAAAGGACAAAATATAAACCCCCAAAACACACCCTCAGTGACCTACTTCATCTAGCCACTTCCTGTATGTGTTTACCACCCAGTTAATCCTTATCTGTGGTTTATCCACTGTGTTGATTAAGGCTCTCATAACCCAGTCATGTCACTTCTGAACACTTTTGCATTATCTCACACATGAGATTTCTGGGGGATACCTCATATCTAACCTATAAAACTCCCTACTCAAAAGATTTCTTTGTTTCTTAAAGGCCACTGGGCTTGTAAAGGAACTTATTTCAATAATTCCACTTAAGAACTCAAGAGACAAGTTACTAAAATCAACCAGTTACTAACCACAAAACCAAAACTAAATTACTCCAAAAAGTATTTAAACTCCAAAAAGTTGGAGAATCCAGCCTTGTCTTCCAGTGATATAATTCTTGTTCCCAAAGGTCTTGAATTCTGTCTCCACTGGTATTTCCTCCAGTTGCCACAATCCTTAGTAGGATGCAGTTGAAACGCAGAGGGTAGGATGTGAAATTTGCACAGGCATTAGCAACCTGCACTTCTACCATCCAGTCACCCTTCACTCTCTGTAGCCAGAAGTAAATCCTACTGAATAGTGAACTTGCAGATGAATTGAAAAGGGGGCATTTTATTATAAACAAAAACAAGCATTTGTTTGTTTGGGTTGGGAAAAAAAGTGTTCTGAATCATCTAATTTGATATTGAATAATATATTTTTGGCAAAGTGTTTAGCCTTTCTTAATCATGCAAAGTTATTACTTTGCTTAACTGTGATGGTCACAGATATGTTCTTTGATTCTCTCTCGTGCAGATTCTTTGGTAGATTTGATTACTTTTTGTATACTCTCTGTTTTGAAAAGTTCTAGGTATTTTTAGATACCTTTTGTCTTCTCCACCCCACTCTAAGAAGTACCTTTAGGATTGACCATCAATGTGCCCTCGGAATAGTTCTGAAGCTTCCCCAGGGGCAAACGTTCTTTTTTTATTCATTTTAGCTATCTGTCCATCAATGAATCAATTATCAATTGCACTCAGCTCCTGAGACTGGCATATCTGTTCAGAGACAAAGCCATCATTGGTTCAGTTCTTGTAGGCATTCATGAGCGTTCCCTGGCAACTTGTAATGCTACACACTTGTACAGAATGTCACTGCTTTCACATCATCTCATTTGTGCCTATGAGGTTAGGCAGTTCTGACCTCATCTCCAGTCTAGGGCTGAAGAAACTATAGCTCAGAGAGATTAAGTAATTTACCTAAAGCCACTTACATAGTAAATAGCACAATTAAGGCTAGAATCTCAGCCTAAAGCTGATGTTCTTACACACCCTTCTGCCAATTAAGTTTAAAGATTGTTTTATTGCCCCATTTCCAACCTATCTGAAAGGAGAAAACACCACACACTTAGAAGTGACACTAGAAAAACATTTTCATCATGAGAGGAGTTGGCCACTATGAGAATTTAAAGCCTGCTCTATACTGCAAAAAAATATTTAGGTCTTACTTCCAAAATTGCTAACCTAACAGAATGCCAAAACACAGGCAAATCAAAGTTCAATCTCAGGGGTCTTTGCTAATCATGTTTCTATGCAACCACTGATTAAAAACACACAGTGTAGTCAGAGTCAGAGCTCTTAAATGCTTTCTTTACTCAGTACTTTGCTCAGAATGTGTGGGAGTTCTATTGTGTGACTAATGGGCAGTGTAAGTGGGTGATGTTACACAATTTTGTAGGGGGAAAAAAAACTTTCCACAATTTAGAAAACACTGAGAAAGCCAGGAAATTATCCTTTGTGGCTGCCACCTGCCATATGAACACTCAGAATCACTGGGAGACACTGAGGATGGTAGGATAGAGAATAAAAAGAAAGAAGGAAAAGAACTGGGTCTTGTTATACATCAACAGCTCTGTCCTGAAGAGTCTGCAATTGTTTAGAACCTATAGAAAGTACTAAACCTTGATAACACAGGATATTATATCCATGGCAAACTCATGCATAACAAGGAACTCCTGTACATTGTATTAGACACTCCTAATGAAGTAGTGATGATGGAGTCCTTTGGTGAACTGAGCCATAATCACACATCTTTACTGTTCTGAATGGTCCATATCAAGAAGTCCAAACATAGGATCTTCTTTTAAAAATTCAAGAACTCTGCCTGGGGACCTTGACAAGAACTTTCCATTAAAATTTCTCCTGGGCCCAGGTTTTATGAATGAGAAGACAGAATTTAGCAGCCCAAGATGAGGGATTAATATTTAATGTTCTTTGCTAAAGGAATTTTGAAAGCCTAATGTTCACATTTTCTGGTGTTTTCTATCTATACTTCGTAGTATATTGTTTCAATCTCTGCAGTAATAACATTTTTACTCCTCTCAGTCCCCAAAGTAATGTATCAATGTTCAAAATTCTTTAGTCACGTGGAATATCATCAATATTTGTTTTCTGCGACCATCTTCTTTCCAAGTTTGTTGCCTTCCTTGTTCTTGACCTCCCAGCTTCACCCTTACTATGTCGCGGTTTGATTTAATGGGAAGAATCAAGAGTCCTGAAGTCCAGGCTCCACGCTGTGCTACTAAAAAACATTCCATAATTTCAAGAAAACTAAGCACAGTAGCCAATGTTTCCAGTTCCACTTCTGTAGAGGAGGTACAGAACACAGACCTCTCAGGTGTGAGGCCTCCTGCTAAGACTTCAACAGACGCCTCAAGCCAACTGCACATAGAAAAACAAAGCTACCTTTTATTCTATTACACTTTAAGTATGTTACTTGGTTTCTCCAGGTTTAGGGTACATTTTACTTAGATCTTTAAAGGAAAAGATAATTAGGTACTACTCAAGTATTACCAAAATGGAAACGAAAATCATGAACATTAAAAAATGAGTTACTGCTGGGCATGGTGGTGCACGCCTGTAGTCCCCGCAGCTCAGGAGCTGAGGCAGGATCATTGTGTGTTCAAAGCCAGCCTCAGCAATTTAGCAAGGCCCTAAGCAACCCTGTCTCTAAATAAAATACAAAAAAGGGCTGGAGAGGTGGCTCAGTGGTTAAGTGCTCCTGAGTTCATTCCCCAATACCAAAAAAGAAATGTGTTGCGACTAAACTGGTTACCTCAGAACCATTTTGATCTTCATATTAAATACCAGAAACAAACAGTATTCACAACCACCTAATGAAACAGCCAAGTTCCTTAGGAGTCAAAAAGCCCCATCTATCATTAACCATTGTGAAAACCATAACCTAAACAAGTGCACATGTTACAGAGTTGAGTTAGCAGGAGGAAAAAAAAAATCCTTTTACCTTGGCAAAAGTTGAGATGTCACAGAAATAATTCCCTCTCTTCTGTGATTGTCCTGCATCCATTTATAAGCTAAAGAACTGCTAATTCCAAGTCTGAAATTTAATATTAATGTGAATGGACTGTACACATCTGAACTTTACATTGCTATAACAATTTCAGTATACTGCCATTCTGAAATGTATTTCACCATGTTGTCATTTTGTTTTATTATTTTATTTTTGTTCAGGACACCAAGAGGATACCTGGCATGTCACAGCCAGCCTTCATCATGCAAGAGAGGTAGCCAGCAGCCAGCAAGAAAATGATTTGTTTCAGAAAAGATAAGAAATGTGATCATTTTTTAAAGAAGGGAGGTAAAGTTAGTTTGTTTTTCTAAGCAGTTGAGAACAAGATCATTGATCAAAAGCAAACCAGAATGGTCTTCATTTTGTTCACATGAAGCTTACCATGTAATTTTAGTCTTTTATACCCTGTCCAACTGTTAGATCTACAACTTCTGCTATTTCTACAGGTGCATTTTCCAATGCGTAGTGTATCAGGAATTACGAATCTTGTGCCCAGATATTCTATACAATTGGAAACTATCTCATTGAAGTGTGGATTAGTTCAGCTTTCTAATTCTTAGAGACTAACAATGAGTGAAATTCTAATACATACTACAACATGGATAATCTCTACAATGAGTGAAACTTCTATGGAGTAACAAATTGGAACTTTGTTAACCTTTCCACAGTTATCTCAAATTCAGCCAAAACAGTGTCACCTTCCATCTTATAATACCAGATAAAAAAAATCCCACAGATGGGAAATGAGAAAGGAACAAAAAATATTTTAATCAAATAATGGGATGGAACTATTTTTTAACCATTATTTTTTCTTTATTCTATAGCTATCTTATTCTAGGCCTATCTATAGTGTGGAAGTTGAAAAAAATAATGGAATATTCAATTATTAACTTTGATCCTGTATGTAGTCAGAAAGTATGATTGCTTCCGATTCTGAGAAGATACCCCTTTTAAATTGATTTATGTGTATTTGTATAGCATATGCAGGAAGATGGGGTGCCTGCTATCTTGTGATATGAGAAGGAAGACAGAGTGAAAATTTTTCCCCAGATATCTGCTTTAAAAAATAAAGAGTAAAATAACCCAAAACTTTGTTAGTATTGACCACGAATAGAAACTCACTGAGTTTTATGGTTCATTTTTTCCAACTATCAAGAGCTAAAAAATTACTTACTTAAAAAGATATGTCAAGGGATTCTAACAAATATGTGAACACTAATGTTCGTAGAGTATTATTCACAATAAACACAAGGTAAAACCAATCTGAGGGTCCATCTTCAGATGAGTGGACCTTTTGAAATATGGACTACATTGCAAGGAATGTTATTCAAACCTAAAGAATGAAATTCTAATACATACTACAACATGGATAAATCTTGAAAACTTTATGCTCAATGAAATAAGCCAGACACACACAAAAAAAAAACTCAAATATTGTATGCTTTTACTTATCTCAATAAGAAAATTTATAGAGATAGGAACCATGATAGAGTTTGCCAGGGATGTGGGGCAGCAGGAAGAGTGGGATGACAAAAACAAATCCTGGAAATAGGTGATGGTTGCCCAACATTGTGAAAGTACTTAATGCCATTGAACTGAACATTTGAAAATAATTAAAATGAGTTTTTAAAAAGCCTCTAATAAAATCTGACTAGCATTTCCAAGATGAAAAAAAGAAGTCATCTTCCAATTTAAAGCATCTAACAATACATCCATTGCTTGACAAAATAATTTATCATGTACATTTTATTCTAATATAAAAGAGATTCACATAAGTACCTGTGTGATGATGCAGAATATTTTCTAGCTGCTGGGCTGTCCAGATCACATTAGCTCTTCATTCTTGAGACATTCAGGGATAGACTTGTACATTTGGGGGAAACTGTCAATCAACCTGTATGCCTCTTTGTGCCATTAAGTGTTGTCTTTGAATCATGTGTTGGTTAACATATGTAGTTGTTCTTTTTCATGGTTACCATAGAAACTGGGTAGTCATGATGTTTTGAAAAGACTAGCAGAGAATGTAAGAATGTACAATAAAAGTTAACTTGTTTCACGGTTTATAATTTCTTCTAGCTGTCTCTCCATTTGTGATGATTATTATGTTCACATTGGGAGTATAAACATACAACAAGAAGGGTTCTGGTGACTATGGCCAATAAGGGATCTCACCCCTAACAGACTTTCCTCCCAACCTATTTCCCTGAAAGATTTGTAATAGAAACACATGACACAAGTGGTATGTAAAGTTCAGGTGTTTTCAATTACTTCCCTCCTGTGATCAGCAGTTTTCTAGATCCAAAACATGTTTCAACTCAGAACATGTCGTTTTGAAGATGTTGTATTTGAAGACTGTTTCAGGAAAATTTTCATCTGCATCTCTGATTCATTGATGCTTCATCGATAAAATATCTCAGCTCTTCTACACAAGTATTTCCTGGATTGGTCGTCAAAACTATGGTACACTTAAGTATTGCTTACTTTTGTGAAGCATGCTCTTAAAAACTGTATAACCTTTTGCCTTTGCAAGAGAAAAGAGGGGGAAAGGCTTAGCTATGGGACTTACAGTAGATTCCTTGTCAGTTACCTCACCGCAGAATATTCCAGCACAATGCCTAAACTTCCTTCTTGGTCAGGTCTTCGGTCTCTCTCAGATGGTGTGTAAATTGGAGAAAAGAGACCCACCTCTGCTTCATTAGTTGCCTATATGTCAAATACAGGCTAGACTATTCAGGGATTATTAAAAAAAATTGTTTAGAGCATTTTATTTTGTTAACTTTCTATGAATGGAAGTTATAAGATTGATTTTTATGTTTGAGCAGTCTTGGATAGCAGTGAGCTTTGCCACTTTATTATTACCGTTTATAGCTTACAAGCCACACCCTATTTACAAACATCTTAAAGCCAAGTACAGTGGTGCCTGCCTGTAATCCCAGGGGCACTGGAGTCTGAGTCAGGAGGATCATAAATTGAAGGCCAGTCTCAGCAACTAAGTGATGAGATCCTAAGCAACTTAGCAAGACCCTGTCTCAAAATAAAAAAATAAAATAAAAACTAGGGATATAGCTCAGTGGTTTACTTTTTGGTACCAGGGTTCAATCCCCTGGTACCAAAAAATAAAAATACCTTAGAATGATTGTAATTTTTTCATTAACATTTGAATGATCATTGTTAAATAACATTCACTTTAGGAAAACAAACTCATCTACAGATGAATAAACTAAATTACAATGAAAAAGAAATGAGAACTTTTATCTAGACTAAATAACCCACAAGAGGTGAACATTTTAAGCACCCCCCTCAAAAAAAAATACACACATGCATGCACTGTAGCTTTGGCAGGAAATAGTGAACGAAATTATGAAAGAGTAAACACTGTTCTTGTGGTAGGGTATATTTGCTTAACTGTTAATTAACTGTGAAGAGGAATCCACATTTTCAGAGTATCAGGGCTAGAGTTCTCTCAGGCAGTACTACTCTTGCCACTTTCTTTCAAGTCCCAGTACAGGTGACATTAATATTTAACTATCTGAGAAAGTTTTAAATTTGTAGTAACAATAATGGCATTGAGGGAGATATTAGTCAAGGGTACAAAGTTTCAGTTAAACAGGATGAATGAGTTCCAGAGATCTTAGTAACTACATGGTGACAGTAATTAATAGATATCACATACTTTGAAAATTACGAAGAGAGTAGACCTTAAATGTTTTAACCACAAAAGAATAAATATGTGAAGGGATAGACATTAACTTATTTTAATCATTTCACAATGTGTATATGTATCAGAATATCAAGTTGTACATTATAAATATATGCAATTTTATTTGTCAATTATTCCTTATTAAAACTGGGGGCAGGGGAGAAAACCAATGACTCTGTACTTAAATAATGAAAGTGATCTTCACTCCATTATCTATGGTTATTAAAGTGCTAACTTGAAATATATCTATATAGATATTGTATTAGTCCATTTTCTGTTACTATAACAAAATACCTGAAGCAGGTTAACTTTATTATAGAGAAAAGATATTTATTTAGCTCATAGTTTTGAGGCTAAACATTTAAGATCAGGTGATCCCATAGGGTCAGCCTCTAGAGAGGGCTTTATGACAGATGGTGTCACAATGGTAGGAATGTATGCCAGAGGAAGACATTCACATTTTCAAAACAGAAAGCCAAAAAGCATCCAGGATTTAGACTCTCATAATGCTCTCTTGTAAGAACTAACTCAATGTTTCATGATAACAACCTTAATCCTTTCCAAAGACCTAATGTCCCAGTGACCTAAGGACATTCTACCAAGCTGGACCTCTTCAGGAACATGCCGTCTCTTAACCTTGCTATACAAAGCACCAAAGCTCCAACACATGAACCCTTGGGGGCACAAAGACCACATCCAAATCATAGCAGAGATAGTCATAATACATTCATATTTTTACAAGATATTATAATATAAATTTTTTTATACACACAATATTTTTTATAGTACCAGGGATTGAACTCAGGGGCACTCAACCACTAAGCCACATCCCTAGCCCTATTTTGTATTTTTATTTAGAGACAAGGTCTCACTGAGTTGCTGAGTGCCTCGCTGTTGCTGAGGCTGGCTTTGAACTTATGATCCTCCTGTCTCAGCCTCCCAATCCTCTGGAATTACAGGCATGCGCCACCATGCCTGGCTTGTTATATTTTTGAAATTTACTTTCCTAATATTTTATTTCTCTCAGGTTAATGTTATTGTCAGTATGTTTAATCACTTGAGATTATCAGCCTGTTATTTAAATTTTATGGCACTACAAGAAAACATAAAACTTCTGGAACTATTTGAGAAAGGATTATCTGTCCTAATTAGGTTACATATGTCTCTGTATTGTGGTCCTGAAAAAAAAGAAATGATTTCTCTAAATAACAAGTAAATACATTACTAGATAGCCAAATTTTGCTTTAATATTGCAATGGGACAGATAGATAAGAATAGTGGGAACGAGAGGTTAAGGTAATAATTTTACAAAATGGGCCCACAGTGTTGACCCCCACATGCTTTCTTTGCCAGAAAGCTATCCACCTGCAGCTCCACCTGGCCTGAGTGGACCAGATCTGTCAAACTGAGGTAGGAGCAAAGATCCAACAGTCAGTGTAGGTAATGAATGATGGGAGTCGAGAAGATGGCGACTGGTTATCAAGGAGAGAACAATGGGTTCTTAACCTCCTGCTCCTGGGCACTCTGAGTTGCTAAGATTAACCTCACAGCTAGAGCTCCTTTGTGTTCTCAGTCACGTACAGGGAGGATAAGGGGGTTTCTGAGATCTGTAAAGAGCAAGACCCAGTTCCTCCCATGGGCTTTTGGCTCTGAAGCCACACTTCTCTTTGGAGAAATCTGTCTCTATTACTTTCTTAAATAAAACCTGCTCTCTATACTTGCCTCAATGTTTCTTGGGTGCTTAATCTTCAACACCAGGGAATAAGGACCTGTTCCTGATTTCCAATGGACTGGTATCAATAATACCAAATTACAAAGGTCAGTAATAAAACTCTCCTAATTTTGATCTGCATCACACATTGTATTTTATGTTAGCCAATAAATAATTTGAGTTCAGATTTAGAAGAGGAATATAGTAACCATGTTATGGTTTGGAGATGAGGTATCCCCCCAAAGCTCATGTGTGAGACAATGAAGAAGGTTTAGAGGAGAAGTGTTCTGGCTCTGAGAGCCTTAATCCAATCATGAATCAATCCCTGATAGAGTTAACTGAAAGTGGGTAGGGTGTGGCTGGAGGAGGTGGGTCATTACAGGGGTGACTTTGGGATATATATTTTGTACCTGGTGAGTGGAGTGAGTCAGTCTCTGTTTACTGATCATCATGTGAACTAATTCCCTCTACCACACTTTTCCACCATGATGGTCAGCCTCACCTCAAGCCCCAAGGAATGGAGCTGGTTTTCTATGGACTGAGACCTTTGAAACTGTGGCCCACAACCTTTTCCTCCTCTGCAGTGGTTCTGGTTGGGACTTTTAGTCACAGGGGGAAAAAAAGCTGACTAAAACAAACCAAGAACATAACTTCCATATAATATGTTTTTCAAGTTCACATCCTATATTGCCTGCTATGCTGAAAATAATTATGGGAACCATGGACTCAAGGTAGGGAAGATGCCCCCTCCCAGGGAGGCTTATTCACATAATATCCTGACAGCATGTTCATACCCAAATCATCCTCCCAGCTGGGCAGCCGGGCTTCCTCACCCATGGTACTTAGGTTCCTAGAGTGAACTAAGAAACAAGAAGTGGAAGCAACCTATTCCTTAGGGTCTGGAGGCAGAGACTGACAGTAGCACTCTATTGTGTTCTAATAGTCAAGTAGTTACAGAGCCCAGGTTCACAGGGAGCAAACAGATCTCACCTCCCATCAAAGATGTGTCAAAGAATTTTGTTTTAAAACCACTCTTGTATGTATATTTTCCAGCAAATGCAAACCACCTTTCAATTTGATCTTGTCTTCTCCAAATTGAGAAAATAAAATAAATCCCCAAATTGAGTTGGTGGACCCACTGAATCCTGATGTTTCCAAGTATGACAACAAAACAGGCCAGAAATTGTGGTCCTCTTTATTTAGGTGTATATTGGAAGTTTAATTGAAGAAAAGGAAACAAGTATTTCTCTTAAGCAACAATTGGCTGTAGAGATTATAAATTGCCTCAATTACCTCTTGAACTACCTTTTTAGGTACACTCTATTTACCTCCTCAAATCACCAAATCCATCTAGATTCTCTGGATATGCTATAAAAGGCATGTACTTGTCTGTTTAGTTTTATAGGTTTATTTTTCCTCTTGTACATTTTTATCATCAGTTATTTTTTGAGTATTCTACTAAGCACTGGAATAAAAATAATTCATAGTTGATGCTTTTGTGGAAATCATGGACTGATGGGAAACATACTGGCAACCAAATATGTAAAGAACCATAGAAATACTGGAGATCCTGGAGATCCAAGATGGCGGGCCAGAGGGAGGTAGCATTCTGCTTCGCTCAGTGACCTGGGATTCAATTCAA